TATTTCTTAAATTTATATTTATTAAATAGATCAGCTATTTAAGGACAACACAGAGTGTTGCGAGTGTTACTCCTATTTATTCTTGCCTGGTCATACTTGTGTGTGGTGGAAAAATGTCCTCTTAGAATTATCCAGTAAGACTCCATTTAGATGATCCCTATTTTGTTAGCAATATCCAAACGCATCATAATCAGGAATGAGTGGAATATATGCTTTCTTCTCTCCACTAGGCCTCACGGGGTATGACCTTGGCCATATCAGTGTCACAGAGCTTCTTCACAGCCTGTTTGATTTGTCCTTGCTGGCCTTGACATCCACTATGAGTACAAGTGTCTTGTTTTCCATCTACTTCACAGCAGACTCAGTGGTCAGGGGAACTTGATGGCATAGTAGTTAAGCTTGTTTCTCCCAGGGGCACTCTTCTGGGAGTATTTGAGCTGCCTCCAGAACTGCTGTCTCAGGGAACTGGAGGGTGGGTGACATGTGGGTCTTTTTTTTTATTGTGTGGCTGTGCACTCCTTTTATCATTGTCTTCTTGGCCTTCAAAGCCTTGGCTTTGGTTTTGGGAAAGAGAGGAACTTCCTTTTTTTTTTTTTTTCTTTCTGCAACATCTTGGAGAAAAGGCTGCTTGTGCTTTTTTTTTTTTTGTGGGGATGCACTGAATATGGAACCCGGGGGCCCTTTTTATTTTGAGAGAGTCTCACTTAGTTGGTGAGGGCCTTGCTAAATTGGCATTGGACTTATGATGCTCCTGTGTCAGGCCCTGAATCCACAGAAATTATAGGCCGGCCCCACTGTTCCTGGTGGCTGGTTGTGCATCTTTACATTGATGTTTTTCATCTCTTTCAGGGATGAAATCTTTCACTTTTCTTTTTTGGTATCAGGGGTTGAACCCAAAGGCATTTTACCACTAAGCCACATCTCCAACCTTCCCCAGCTTTTTAAAATACTTTTTAAGTTATAGATGGACACAATACATTTATTTTTTTATTCATTTATTTTATGTGGTGCTAAGGGTTAAACTCAGTGTCTCACACGTGAGAGGCAAGTGCTCTGCCACTGAGCCACAATCCCAGCCCTCCCCAGGCACTTTTTATATTGTATTTAGAGACAGGGTCTTGCTCAAATGTTTAGGATCTCACTAAGCTGCTTTGAATTTGCAATCCTCCTGTCTCATCCTCCCCAGGGGCTGGGAATACAGGTGTGCACCACTACCCTGGCTAATGTTGCAAATTTTTGAAAACTTTTATTTCCCTCTTTCCTTCTAATTCCTTAGGAATGAGTATTTGTGTAATTGAATTTAATAAAATTCAACCCTAATTCCTAGTAAACTCTTAAGCTCTCTCTCTTTGGTGGAACTCTGGGGTTGGTGCATGCTAAGCAAATATCAAGATCAATATTTGGTCCAGTTTCTTTGTAAATCTTTAGATTAGGATTATAGAGTCTGATATTGATAGCTGGGAGACCTATTTATAATTCAAGGTTGATCCCTAACTGGCTGTGTAGTCTTGGGCAAGCCACATAACCTCTCTGGATCTTCACTTTCTTATATGTAAAGTGAGTGGATTGATCTCAGATATTGTCATAGGTCTCTTCTACTTCTCTCACTACACAGGTGGAAAAAATATTTTTGTCAAGTTCTGTTAGTGACAAACTTAGAACATTCTCTCCTTTTCTCCTGCAAATACTGCCCTCCTCCATCATACTGCCATCTCTTGAGACAGAACTTCCTTCTTTCCAGAAATGTAATTTGTTTGTACAGTGCCATGAACCCTAAGACAAGAGCAGGGACCACTCTTCAAAAAGCACACCTAAGACATAAATGTGAAGTAGGTCTCACTTTTTTTGTGTGATAAAATCCTTTGAAAATCTGTTGAAAGCTAGGGAAAAACTCACAGAGAAACACACACAAGCATATATATATATAAAACTTCAAGGAACTCCTGGACCCTTGGAAGTCCATCCATGCACTCCCTAAGAATCCATGAATCTTTGGCTAACAGACCTTTATTGGGGACATTAAAAGGGATCTGTGGAGTTTAATAAAAAAAAAATTTTTCTTCCTACTGGAAAAGAAAACTGCTAAATTAAAAGGGTAATATTTTAGATTTTTATTAAAACTCTTCAAAACTATTATGTTTACTTGCCAATATCGTCTTTATAAATCACATACTAACCTGCTTAAATCTTTTAGAACAGAATTCAAATTTCTCTCCATGCTCTATCAGGCTTTACATAATCTGACTCCTGCCCACTTTCATTTTATACATTTGAGCCCCACTGGCCTACCTTTGGCTTTAGGAATGCACCAATTCTGCAGGTCACTCTGTCTCTTGTGAAGGGTCTTTGAGTGATCTCTTTCCTCACCCAGACCACTTCACTGATTGCTACCCTTCAGGCCTCAGTTCAAATGTCCCTCCTCATTTAAACTTCCCCAACCACCTTCACCCTACTCTCAGCCACATCAGCCAGTTTCTTCCTTAGATAGTTGATCTTGTCACAGTTCTGGTCATTGATTTTTGTGTATTTGCTTATTGTCTTCTCTCACCACTAGAATGTAAATTCCACAAAGGAAAGGGCCTCCCTTGACTTATTTATGACCACATTCCCAGAGCTAGCTATCTACCGGACACACACAGGTGGTAGCCATTCAGTCACTGTTTGTGTTAAATGAATAAGTAAATTTCAGCCATGGGTAGATTAATCGTTTAAGAGGGTCTAGATACTAAATATTATGGGCTGGGGTTGTAGCTTAGTGGCAGAGTGCTTTCCTAGCACACACGAGGGAGTGAGTTCTATCCTCAGCACCAAATAAAAATAAATAAAGGTATTGTGTCCATCTACAACTAAAAAAAAAAAATTAAAAAGAACAAAAAGAAATGTACTTTTCATTAAAGTAAACTTGTTCCGTGTTTTCCCTTTAACTCGCTGGACTAATATTTTTCCTAACATTCAAATACCTCTATAATGTGTCTCTGAATGTCTTTGACTTTATATCTAATTGCTAATACCAGTTTCTTCTACTACTGGAGGGTCTATTCCTCTCTCATGTGAACATAACTTATTCACTCCACATCCATGACTTTACTCATGCCATTTCCCTGGTAGAACAGTTCTTTCATTTCCCCCCTTCACCACAAGTCTTAATTATCCCTCAAGGAATGGGTCAAAGCTCTTTATAAGATATCTTCCCTTAAAAACCCTTTATTATTACCTCTTTCCTCTGGACTCTTTTAATTACTATTGAATGCCACTTAATCATTGATTTAGTTTTTTAAATTTAGTTTTTAATTAGCTTTAATCTTTTTTTCCCTATAAAATATGCACTTCCAGAATTGCTATCATAGCAAAACATACATGGAAGATACTTCAATTTAACTCTATAAATTAGGAAGTGGGGGAAGTTTCAAGATGTGTCACTTAGAGCAAGGCTATTGGTGCTTTGGCATATAAACCATATTATACCATAAAATTTCCTTTCATCCAGGCAAGATTCATGCTCTCCATCTCTAGTATGAGTACTATCTTTTCCTTCCTTCCTAAAAATCCCAACACTGCCAAACCAAGCAGATTTGAGACGCATATCCTTTCCAACTACCCACTTTAACTGCTCTAAAAACAGCAGCTTTATGGTCAGTAGATTTTTAGGCTTTACTTGTAGAACAGAAGTAATCTCCGTGAAGCTGCAGTAACATCTCCTGTCCACCAGAGGACAGGGAGCAAGAAGTTGCAGAGAGCTTCCCCTCCGCAGAAGTCGCAGGTCAAAAGCACTGCCTGAAAGTTGGGTCTGCAACTGTGGTGTTCAGGATTCACCTACAGCCTGACCTGAAAGTGTCCAGCTATCTCCTTTTCCTCCTCTAAAAGGTGAGCCGGAAGTACCCAGGAACTTACTCCCTAATGCTAACCTTAAATGACTACCAGTCACAGTGAATACACTTTTGTTGCAGTATTTAGAGGCAGAAAAGTAGTAACAGAGATGTATCATCTTTCCAACCCAAACCTGCTTTTTAGTTCTTTTGCCAATTAAAAAACTCCCTTAGGCAATGTCCACATAAATATCCCTCAACAAACAGTGCCTTGAGGGGCCAGTGTCCCTACTCTGGGACATTGCCAACGGAAGGTTTTAAGAGCTAGATTATTCCTACACATAAATTCTGGCTCATGGAGCAGTCCACTCACAGTGTGCTTTTCCGTCATTAATCACATCCCTGTTATGTGATATCCACGTGAGCCCTTCTCAGTGGAAGCAGCCTCATGTTCAGATGCTCAAAGCACACTGGAATAAAGCTTTGATTGTCCTATTCAGTGATTCCAAGTCCTGATTTGTCACCACCTCAAGTCTCTAGTTTTCCAAAGCCTATGTAATGTCTCAAAACAAAGCTATTGTAATGAGTTCAAATTTTTAAAAACATGAGGTACCTGGAGTTAAATCAACAGAGGTCTTGCACCACCCAAGAAAGCAGAGAATCCCTTATGTGATTTAAAGATGATTCTGTGCGGCCCGATATATAAAATATATTTAAGAAGAATTTTTGGATACTTTTACTTACTATATTGCAAATATAAGCAAAGTAAAATAATTTAGGAACATTCATGCAGGGGCTTTTAATGACAGCATACAGATAGTTCAGTGCCTGACAACACTAGTGTGCAGTTTTTTAAGTACCTACCTGTAACTTTTTAATGCAGGCCACTGCAGTTTGGATTCGGATTTAAAAAAAAAAAAACCTATTGTAATTCTCTCAAATTATCGTTTGCGTTTCTTAGTGAGGCAGCTGAAAACAATCTAAGGAGAAGGAAAAAGTTCTGCGTTCGGGTGGGGGAAGCCTCCAGAACCTGTTGAGGCGCCGCGCTGGAGGGGGCGGGTAGGGACCTTAGCTCGGGGTCCGGGGACGCGAGCCCGGGGCAGCAGGCGCGCGGGCGCGGAAGGAGGAGGAGGCCGCGGGGCCGCTTCCGCGGGCAGCCGGGCTCCTCCCAGCAGCGCCTGCGGAACCTGCCTCCGAGTCGCCGAACTCTGGAAGGGAACGTGACCCGACCCCTCCCCGAGCTGCCGAAACGCGGCGTCCAGCCGCGCAGCGGGCTCGGACGGCCGCGGGATGGGCGGGAGGGCGGCGCGCGGCCCCGCCCGGCGCCCACCGCCCACCGCCCTGCCCTCGCCTGTCTCCTCCTTTCCCCGGGGCTCCGCTGAGTTCATTCACTGGGATTGGTTTCAAGTGACGCCATCTCTTTATTTTTAAACCAATGACCTCATCCGCGCTTGAAGTTTCCTGACCAGCGACTCTTTCTCTTTTCCCCAACCCCCCACCCCACCCCCCCGCCTTTCCCCCTCTTTCTGTGTATCACTGTTTGGGGGGCTTTAATCAAATTTTAACGATTATTCTCCCCTCTCCCTCGCCCCTCGGCTTTCCCCACGCGGCCCCCACCTTTACCTCCCCAAGTTCTTCACTCATTTCGACATTTGTTTTTGGAAGTCTTGATTGGGGGGGGGGTGGAAGAGAAAGAGTGAAGAAAAGTTGCAAACGTCTCCTCTTCCTAAGCCTCCCGCCCCCGCCCACCCCTCAGAGAAGGAGAAGATAATATAGTGTAAAGAAGAGGAGGAGGCGAGAGCGACGGGACGGGACGCCAGCGGGAGCGCAGCCGCCCTCCGGGCTCCGCGGCGGCCCCTAACTAGCCCGGGAGCCGAGGGCCCGGAGAGGAGACGCCGTGACAACTTTCGATTCCCTCAGAGGGAGTCGGGGGGTCGGCGGCCCCAGAAGTAAG